TTGCCAAGGCTGTTATTGGCTTGGCTGTTTCAGGAGGGCTCTGGTATTAACTGGATAATTCGCCAGCTGACGCCGTATGGTGGCGCTAGTGGAGCAGCACCATATGACGTCAGCAGAAAACACCGTGAGCAGCTATGAAATGGGAGCGAGAACCACGGAAATATCGAAAGGTGATGGACATGTACTGACTTTGGTCATTCAAGTACCCCCAACACCATACAAAACCATATAATATCATCAAGACTGATTCTGGAATCGATTCGTTCGGGTATTTAAAACACACGAAAAATGTTTGTTACCGAATTCTGAAACAGTATAAGGATATTCTTGTTCCTTACTTTTACCTTGTGGAGTACTTTTACTTGCTTTCTAGTGCGCCCATCACTATCTTGAAATCTGGATTGCAACGCTGTAGGAAAACTTTTTTTTTCATTTGTCATTTCTTCCACTTTTGAGCAGTGATAATTTATTTGGATTTATACATTAAATAATGAAGACGGCTCCTAACTTTTTAGGGATCTGCAGTAGCCCAAAGGCAAAATAAGATATTTTCTAGAAACTTGAGGCCACTATTTTCTTATATGCTAGATAATATACAAATATTGACATGTAAAGAATGATACGGGTGTATAATTCTGCAGAAATATAAATTCGAAGTATTTAAATTTTTTGAGAACCTTTTTAAATTCTTCCATAATGACTTCTTTCAATACAAGCTGGAAGCAATTTCAATCAATAAAGCAGCACAAGGCAGTACCTTGAGCTGCGATGATCCATAACCAATCGGCACCTGCAATTTGATTGATCTTCGAGATGTACCCTGCCTCTGTTCCCTGACTTTCCCTTTTCGTTGTACCGGGTGAAGTGAATATTCTGTGAATATTCTTCTGACAGTCAGTTTTTAGTCCTACATTATGTTGTCAATCAGATTCAATTGGTTCAAAACCGTCGTAGTCCGTCTCATTCGCAGTCTACATCTCCACATGCGCAACCATACATGCTCAAAATTTTCACTACGTATGTACTATGTACCCTGCAGCGTATCCTGATGAAAAATGTTTTGTTGAAATCAGAGACACTTCCCAAGGTAGGCCATAGTCCATGGCCATATATTGAAGTCAAAACAGATGAAACAGATAAACACAATTCCAATCATCAAGTCAACCAGCATCGACAATCTGCACATAAGTTCTAAACCTATTGTAAGACTACTTTGTATTCAAACTTTGTATTGCAGAAGGGTGGAAGCTGCATGGAATTATGCGACAATTTCAGCGTGCATCCACGCTCGAAAGAGCAGGGTTAATTGTAACAATGTCAATACCATAACAATAACGTAATTGTAGGTGTTGTGATTCGGTTGTCTCTTGTCTGTGCTGGCCATTGCGCGGGCGGTCCAGCGGCGGAACTCGGCTTCGCCGCCGTGGCGCGCTGGCAGTTGCTTCTTCTTCTTCTTCTGCATCCCACCGCCAACCCGCTCAGGGGGGCGGCGGCGCAGGCGGGTCGAGCGGCGGCTCGGTCCGCCCAACATCCTCGATGAAGGTGACGACCTTCGTCGCCGGGCCGCCGAGGACGTCGACCAGGCGAGGGTCGACACCCCAGCGGCGGCGGCGGGCCGCCTCATAGGCCGGACAATCGGTCAGTAGGTGCGCCGCGCTGTCGGGCTCCCCGCACGCGGGGCATTCGTCGTCGGCTTCCGGGCCAATCTTGTGGAGCGTGTCACGGGTCAGCGGTGATGTGCCGGTCCTCAGCTGGGACAGCGTCACCGACCCAAGCGCGCCAGGGAATCGTGGCCAGGCGTGGGGTCCGGGTGCGGGTGGGCAGCGGTTGCCCTCTGTCGCGACAGCTCCCGGACATGGCGCGTGACGGCGGCCCGCGCACTGGACAGGTCGATCGGTGCGCACTGCGCTGTCTTGGTCGCCCGCCGTGGCCTCGCCAGCCAGGCGGTCGGCGGTTTCGTTGCCGTCCAGCCCGGCATGGCCTGGCACCCACTGGAGCACCGTCTCGGTGCCGTTCTCGGCGAGGGTGCTCAGCACTCAGCAGCCTCCACACCTCGGCGGCCAGGGCCATGGTCTGGTTAGCTGGGCCGCGGCCGAGTAGTTGGAGCCCAGACCTTGAGTCGGTGAGGAGGCGGACCGACTTGGTCGATGCCAACTCCCCGTCCTCCAGGCCGGCCACAGCCGCGAACGCCTCGCGCATGGCGGTCAGTTCTGCTCTTAGGCTGGAGCAGACCGCCCCTGCAGGAGCGCGCACGGTCTCTTCTCTGTTGAGGTGGTGGAACTGGATCAGCGCCTGCGCCGCCCTGTTCCGTCCGCCGCGAGCCGAGCCGTCCGACCAGATAGTGACGTCCAGGTGCGGGAGCTCTGCAATGGCTCGCAGGGCAGCTTCCCTGCGGACTGCAGGCGGGTCCGACCGGCGGGTGGCCACGGGCAGGTCCACCCTGAAGGTGATGCCGCCGCGGTGGCCCAGCCATGGCGGGTCACAGCTGTAGAACGCCGAACCTGTAACACAATAGAATTGCAATTGTAACAAAGACCTGCATGGTCAGCACACATCTGCAGTGACTGTCATCCCAAGTTGGTATGAATTGGCACAAAGTTGGGTCATGGTAGCAGACGTAGCACAAGCCACAAGCTGTTGTGATATGCCATACCTACCGTAGGACTAGGTCGTAGGTTGTAAATTTTAGGTTTAAGGCTGTAGGTTGTAGGTCAGGTTAGGTAAGGTTTGGTTAGAAAGACCCATTCTCGTGCATCGCGCAGCTTGTGCTACATCTACCTTACCAATACCCAATTTGGATTCCCAAAATTGATGGCAAACAGGCTTTTTGTATAACAAGTGTGGTTAATTGTTCTAATCCCCGCTGCAATGTGAGGGTAACTGCTTTTCTACAATCACAATATTTGAATTCATATAGGTAGGTGTTTACATGTTCAGAAAATGATACAAAATATGACACAATTATAGCTGCAACTGGATAGTGGATACCATTGACCTAAAAAAGACTTCTAGAAGTCAATGGTGGATACCAACCTCAACTAAAAGTTTCTGCAGCCTTATAACCTAACAAATGACTAAATTGCCAAAATAAATCCCTTAGTACAATAGCTTGACTCTAAAATAACAGAAATTTTGCATGCAGACCCTGAAATGGAGGGTTTATGAAAAGCAACAAAAATAAACATTCACTAATACCAATATGTTGTTATAAATTTCATATGTAGCATAAGCGCCAATACTGCCTTCATTTACAATGTTGCTACTGTTTTCCACTCACAAACGCTGCCCTCCGTGGACAGCAGCAGCAGCAGTGAAACGTCACCCGTGGTGTGACATCATCACCCATGACGTAATGGAAATCCAGTTGTTACCAAGGCCCTTTCAGGACCACATTCTTTTTATACAAGTTTCAATAAACGCCATCAGCTGGCCTTGCAGTACTTGCAATAATGAGACAGAATGCTTACCGCAAGGCTATAGAACTCCGGTCAAATTTGACCGGCTTCCCGATCAAATTAATTATTCAGTAAGAAACTAGGTAGGTACCGCAAATACAAACAATATTATAAATTCAAATTGCTTATTATTCTACTTCGGTCCGACCCCCACCGGACACGATTTGGTAGCCGAGGTCTGTGACGTCAGCCGGGCGTGAAGTTTTCCCTTCACCATAGGCTTCACACACAAACCGGCCGAAGTTCATGCCAGGATAGCCCGGCTTGAAAGTGCAAAAATGATTAAATTTTGCCCTCAATAGATTCATTGCTTCATTTTATAACTAAAAACGTCCGTTATTAGGACTCAATGAAGGTAAAAAGTACTCAAAATCGAAGTTCAAGAAGATGCTGTCCGAGCACAATCTGGTAACATCACGTGACCTCTTTTAAGCAAAATGTATATAATTTAAGGATGTTATTACACGATTGCTGCCTAAAACATCATAAATAATACGCTTGTAACATATATTGCTTCTGTTTAAGTCATAACATTGCAAAATGCAAAGTTTATCATGGAAGTCACGTGACCAAAGGTATAGCAGGGGTTGGGACAAGCACTCAAAGGATTTCAAGTTTTTTAATTAAATTATATAAGTTTCATGATGAAATTGATAGAATGTATTTTTTCCGAATGAAATACAAATTTTCGTATGTAAAATATTTTTCTTATGGGCGAAATTCTCCATATAAGAAATGTCAGTGACGTCACCAGGGCTTTACGTGGGCTTTACTCAAAACATCGGACCTACCTGTTTCTTATAGGTATCTTGCTTCGGTCCAGCACGTCCAGCATTTATTTTACTTCGCCAGAAACTGCGCATATGCGACAATCTCTACCGCAGAATTCGACTATTGACTACTAATTTCTTTTTGGGGGAACTCCCATCGTACCTAGTTATTTCCAAAATTGTATTAAATGATAAATTCAATTAATTTGTGTATGTTCACATTCTCATAGCGAAAACAACATAATCGCAAAAATATTATATATGAATAGCACCTTGGCCATTACTATAAATCACCAAACCGAAGGCATAATACTTAATAGCCCACATCGCACACGAAATGGGGAGGCGAAACTGATAACGTGAATACTGACAAACCGAGGCTTTATTTTCTGAGCTTTCGCCACTGTTTCACGGTAGGCTGCTAGACACTAGCGTTTCCAATTTCTAGTTTTTATATACCTTGGGAAAGGTCAACAAATTGGATAGCCCACATTGCATTTTACATCAAGCAACAGTCAGTGTCAAGCCGCTTAGCCGCTAGTAGACGTAGAAACGTGCCGTGAAACAGGGCCCCGGAGACAGCAGCCCTATCTAGCGTACGATCCACTGCCGGATGTGACGCTTTTTCGATGACTCAGACTCAGGATTCTGAATCAGACTCCGGCTTTCGACTCCAACTCCAGCTCAGACTTCGGGTATCCCTGTTGAAGCTAGAAAAAAACTATGATATGACTAGACTAGATACTGACGCTCTTTGTCATGCCTGAGCATCTTTACTGGCACTTTCCAAAGATAGCCATGGCATTGATGTGAAGCTCTGGAATGCGTGTCACAGGTCCTCTACAAGATGCCAGAGCTCCAGGAGTGACAGCGTCAGTTGAGGGCGGCAGCTCGCTATAAAAGTCGCGGAGGCCGGCTAGCTCCATGTTTCACACCTAACATTCATTTCAGAGGCTTCTCTTCCGGTGAGAGGTCAGTCCCAGTCTCAACAACGGCCTCGGGGCCTCATGATACCGTGAGAAAATCTCCAAACTCCAAACGGTCTGAGAGGGCTCAAAAGGTTTCGGTGCTCACCTACATACTCGTATATAGGGCCCCCGAGTGATCATAGTCAGTGGGTCCACGGACCACGGAATTGTAGTGAGTGCGACCCTCCGCAAAAACTCCATATTTCATCCGAGCTGTACCGGACCAGCCACCCTAATTAATCAATACCAATCAATATGCACTGTATAACACGACCCGTCGAAAATGGGGTAAAACTTGATCCGACTATAGAGCTACGACTATAGAGACATGACTTAGGCCAAAGTCTAATTTTCCAACTCCCGTGTAGGAGACAGTCCAGTCAATAGGATTTTGACGACTCAAATTTCGGTCAGAATTGTTGACTCTGGTAGACTCGAAGTCTCGCACCAACTCCGCTCCGCTTCGTAACAATATCGGTCAGAATTGTTGACTCTGGCAGACTCGAAGTCTCGCACCAACTCCGCTTCGTAACTTGTTAACAAGTATATTCGGTGTCAGGTATCGGAAATGCAGCATCCCTCAGCCGAAGAGCACGTTTTTCACCTTGCATATTATCATATCGCATTTCCAATTCAGACACGACACCACACAGAAACTTGACAGAACGAAATGTTGTAGGAAGACATCTCCGAATAGGGTACGCCGGCATTGGGCTGGGTGGGCAAAGTAAAAATCGGGAAAGTCACTCTTCAAAGATTTGTCACTATCCAATAGCTGAAAAGTAAAATTTAGAAGCCGAAGGAAACGCAAAATCGCCATAATGAAGAAAACAGACATTATGAACAGAAACTTGGAAGACTATTTCAAAATCCAGTTCGAAAATAAGATCGCAGTGAGACCACGCCGCGAAGATTGTCACCTAGCAGCCGCCACGAAGATATTGGCCAAAAGAAATGAAGTCGAGGAAACTGACAAGGAATTGGAAATGCGTAAAGAATGGTTTAAAGAAAAAATGTCAGAAATCAGGACCGGTAGAGAGGCCCTTGCAGATCGTGAAAACGCTTTGAAACAAGAGATGCTCAGGTATGAAAAGTTCTTCCGAGAGAACACTTTAAAGCGACACAGAGGGGAGAGAAAATCTATGGAGGAGCGCGAATATCAAGCCAAGAAGGACTCTGAGATCGCTGCGTTAAAGGAAGAACTAAAGGAATTAGAGGAAAGAAAAGATGAAATGCAAAAGGCCGTAAACAGCAACTCTAAATTCCGCGACTTTCTTCTGAAGGCGACCGCCTTCAATCCAGACTACGAAGAGATTAACGACCTGCTGAGCCGATGCGACGTGTTGTGGGCGACGCAGAAGGAGCTGTTGGACCGGGAGCAGCACGACGCGCAGATACTCGACCAGGAGACGCTCAGCCTGATCGCCTCCTCCGAACACCTCAGCACCAACGTGCTGCGCCTCAACAACCTCATCTCTGAGCTCCACCTGCGCTACGAGCGCGCGCAGAACAACGTAGCCGCGTGGGAGAACAGCTGGACGCGCATTAAGAACACGGCCGCCAAGCAGACGCTGCAGCTGGGCCAGGTGAAGATGGCCATCCACAACCTGTACCAGCTGTGCCAGAGGTACCACAGAGAGCGCGCTCTCGAGCACGAGGAGGTGATCGAGTACACCGAGCCCGGCGACCAAATGAACACGGTGGCCGAGCTGATGCAGGACATCGGTGCCGTGTACAAGGAGTGCTGCCGACGCGCCCGACAGGCGGCCGCCAAGGCGTCGGCGCACGAGACCCCGCCGCTCTCTGACTGACAGCGCGGCACCGACTGGCGTGGGAAGGCTGTCTTTGCGTCTCTGTCCGGTGTGGCTGGCGAGCTTCAGTCATGTGTGTAACCAGCCGCCCATACTCAACGGTCAATACACTCGAAACGAAATATGAAGCGCTGTACCCGGGATTCTTTTCTTACGCATTTTATCATTTGATTTTACGTCAATTAAATAAACGAGTGACTAACTTTAAAGGTACACGCAAACAAAGTTTGTTTTGTAATTCAACAACAAGTTTTAAGTGCACACACACATCAATAGCAACGCAGCTATGCATGATATCTTCGTTTCAATTCATCATCTATGTGATGGCAGCTCGCCCTGACATCACCGCGCACATACCAGCAATCCGATGAGGCGCTCCGCATGACGGCGTCACCTGCGCGGCAGCTCGATGACACTGTCTCGCGCCGTGCGGCGGATCTGGGGCTCCACGTCCCGCAGCAGCCTCTCCAGAAACCGCTCGTGCTGTCGCCGGCGTGCCGACGTCCGCCGATCTCTGCGGTCATGAGAGCGCCGCCGGCGGCTGGCGGTGGCACCGTACCCCTCCCACGGGTTACGGTAGTGCCCGGCCGCGGCGGCTCCACTCTGACTGGCCCATGGGGAGTTGTAATATCCGTACACCGGCCAGCCAGCGGAGGCCACATCCGCAGCCCTCCTCCTCAGGAATGAGTTGTAATCACTCTCCGCTGGGGGCACGCCGTACTTGGCTGATACAATCCCTCCGTATCTAGCCGATACGCGGTTCATATCGATCACTGAACCGTAATCGCCAGGGTCGGGAGGCGAGAGGTCCTCGGTGGGCGCTGTGCCGCTGTCGTCGGCCCACAGGTCGGCACCAGTGTCTTCCCTGGGTGGAGGGACGGCGTAGTTGGCGGAGACCATGCTGTGGTAGCCGGCAGACCGGTCGGCCCCGGGCGGCGGTGTATCGTCAACGTCTCGCCGCTGTGGGACCGTGTCGGCTGGCTGTCCCGACCGCTGCAGCAGGGCCTCGATCCGCGAGACGGCCGGGCCGGCCACCTCGGCTGCCGTCGGCAGCGGGTGCTCGCACAGCTGTAGGAAGAAATCGGGAGTCAGAACTGACAGCAGTGGGCGCACGCAGTTTACAAATCTGTAGGGACACACAGAGGATGTTAGAGCTTCCAGCGGTGGGTGCTAGCAGTTTACAAAGCGGTAGGAATACAGCGGTGTCAGAGCTGCGAGCGGTGGGTGCCCACAGTGAACATAGAGGTAGGAACACAGGGGATGTCAGCTCTTACGGCGGTACGTGCTCGCAGTCTATTTAGCTAATAGCGGAACACGGGATGGAGCCAGCACGGTCGCACTGACGGTGTGACTCCATTAGAGGCCGCTGCATGGAGGAGAGGCGTGGCAGACATAAGAGAACGCAATGACGCAGGCCAATTGATACGTATAGAGAAACAACATGGGGTTACAAAATCGGAAACATGTAACCAATGCACGCACTCCGAACGTATTGACTTATGTGGTTCATCGATCCCAATTCTTCCTCGTCCTACTTTTCCGATTATGCAGCTTTGCAACGGAGTGGGTAACGTGAAACGTATCCTAGAGTCCGAGCAGCAATTATAATATTGAGAGTGGTCAACGGGCAGTGGCTGTATAAATCATAATGCAGACTACACTATGACACGCTCTGCGTTTTTTATGGATGCTCATCGTAATTCCTCCGACAAGTGCCACGATGTGAGCAGTGAGCAAGTCCAACGTTGCATCCTCAATCACAGTACCCGCGTTTATTCAGTACTTAAGGACGCTCGCAACCACTCGGTACTCACGTCTCCGGAGCTGCGCTCGCTGCAGACGCATACGAAGCCGCCCTCCTCCTGATGACAGGTGCCCCCGTTCTGGCACGGGTTACCCTCCGAGCAGTTGGTGATTCGGATACAGCGTGGATCGGACTCTGCCAAACGGACCGACGGTGGTGGCTTGTAAACGGATGATGACAAGCTAACGCTCGACGAGGGCCAAAGGCGTGTAAGACAGACACCCAGGTAAATACTTTTTAAAATTTGTAGATTTTCATGAAGTTTAGCACCCTACCCTCCTGATGCCAGTCCTCCCTGCTATGCGACAACTCCAGGGTAGACAGATAAGACACCCCTTCCCCTGTCTCGACCCAACGCCACTCACCCGACCGCCGCGCCCAGCCGAGCCGCCGGTGGCAGTCGCACGTGAAGCCGGCCAGTCGGTTCCGCTCGTCGCGGCGGCAGCGGAACATGGAGCCGCAGTCGAGCAGGCCGGCCGAGCACGGGTCGCGCCGCTCGTGGCAGAAGTCGCCGCCCCAGGCCGGCTGGCAGGCGCAGAAGAACACCGGCGCGCCGCCCTCGTCCTGAGCGACCGGAGATAGAAGCCGGCAGTCGGCGACAGGAGAGGCAGATGTCAGGCGGCTGGAGAGGGGCTGGGAGAGGGCTGGTGATGCCGCGTGATAATTTGAACACGGGAAAGAACAGCTAGAAAATCTGGCTGCGACCAATGTATTATAAACTGACGTGTCAAGCATCATGAACACGACGTAAAAATGGGAAGCAATTTGCAAACTGCTAACATTTCAACAAATTCATATACGACGCAAACATGAATATTGTGAGCACTATAGCAGATATTTTACAGCTGAAAACGGCGCTACTTACCCTGGACATGCATTCCCCTCCATGCTTGCACATTGTTACGCCATCCACCTTGCACATCCCGGGATCTTTTACAGATATCTCAACTGTTGTAGCTCGCTTGGGTAGATCATCAACCGTTGCTAACAGTTCATTTTGTCTTTCTTGAGTAACCTCGTGGGAAGTCATCACATCGTCTTCTCTGGATTGCCGTTTCGCATCAAGCATGCCGTTCTGCTGTAATAACGCATTTCTTTCGGCCTTTCGTAATTCCTTACGCAGATAACGGTTCATTTTATGCTGCTTTGCCTTCCTACGCTCCAGTTTCATTGCTTCACGGAGGGATGTTTTCCGATTGCTCCGTTTTGTTCGTATCATTACATTGCCGTCAGTCGTCTTCGTTAAATTGTGGTCACTAAACATCTGATTTTTAGATGGAAAGGAGTTCAATTTGAAATTTTCCGAATGCACGCTTTTAGACTGCTCGTGCAAAGACGCGACACTGGCGACCAAAAGCACGAATATCACATATCGCATGACCCAGAAACATCATGCAAAGTGCCAAACGAAATGTTCGAAAATAATCATTCTGGGAGCATGACTAGCCATGCTTGCCAACTCGCCAAACTGGTATACAGTAACATATTTTGGAATTTGGCGTGTACAGATACAAAACACCGTTGCAGTCGTCGTCGTTTGAACATCAATATCTTCTAGCACTGACGCGTTATTGATGTCACATTTGCAGAGAAGATCTCGCTCTGGGGTGGACCAAGGGTGGACGTCTGAATTTTAACTATCTGCATTCACGTGCTTCCCTGCATTTACATCCCGCTTGTAAATGTTGGCTCACGTAGCAAAGCATATTCGAACGAAAACAAGTCACTTGGTTTTATTCAAGGTCGAATATGGCCGTATACGGAAACATTTATACGGCTTTCTGTAAATAACACCGATATTCACATGCATGGAAGTGGCCAATTAGAAAATATTTCATGCAACTAAACGTTCGGTACGAATTCGCCGCTTAACAAAATAAGCTGCACTGTAGCCCCGGTAAAAATATTCCCTTACAAACATCCACGTTTAAAGATGTATTTGAATCACAACAACCAAGAAGGCAAGCGACGTCGAATATGAAAATGAATATCTAAGTTAAAACTGGTCAGTAACAATATCAATCCGTCCAAGCGCAAGCTGCAACACAAATCCGGTCGATTGTGTGGCAAAGGTTTCGCTAGAGCCGTCGCTGTCCCCTGGCCAGTATTATGCCATAAGCGCCGCGGCTCACATCATTTCTGCGTCGCCTGAGAAGACCGTCCCGCCTTGAGCAACCGACCCGCATTCGCCTGTCCGGCCGACCATCCCCGGTGATCGCTCCCGCGGCCGGCAGGCAGTGTCCGTATCACAGGCGGCGTCACCGACCACTAGCCCAGGGCGGGGCGACAGGCAACTGACCGCAGCACACACATACACACGCGCAGACGCACAGCGGCGCCTCGCTACAGCCGGCTCCCACCGGCGGTAAGTAGTTAGTATCGTAGGTTAATCTGAAACTGGTGATGGATACCTATAGTAGGTGTGCCTTGCTAAGGCAGATAATATAGTCTGATGAGAAATACGGAAATATACAACAAAGCAATCAGACTACTACAGCACAAAACTGTAAGCCACACAGGACATATCTAATGACGTAACAACAGCGTTGAACGCGTTTCAATTTTTCGAGACAATCATAAATCTAATTACCAGAGCGACTTTCATAAAATAAAGGCTGTATACCTATATTAGGTGCAAAGATCTCTGGAAAACAAAAGAGCCCACACATGATAGATGTAAGATATCTGCACATCATTTGTAAGTAAGGCTGCCGCCACAGCCAGTCGCACTCAGATCAGTCACCAGGCGGCCCCATTTGGCTGATCCTCTCCTGCCAGTATAGCCGCCGCGTAACGCTGCACCCCGCCGGCAGACGCATCACAACATCACAGGCACGTGAATGCCACACCAAAAACGCAAGGTGTCAAAACAAAACTACCGGCACGTTCCGGACTGCGCAGCCAGTGAACCCAATTCCTGCCTTGAAAACAACTCACGATTAGACTAACGCGCTTCCGGCAGTCGTCAGTGGTACCTAGTTGCGGTGGTATCAAAAGTTGACCCGCACGGCTTGGCTGGGCCTTCGGCCGACTGCCATTGTTTCAGGAGGGACGTTTAGCACCCCGCATATTATCTCCAAAACTCAGCATTGCAGCGAGATGCGCAAAGAACGTTGGAAAGGTCTCGTCTCACCGAGATAAACATTAAAAACACTACTTTTAATAAAATTTGACTTTTGAGAACACGCACTGGCAGATCCAAAGAACGGGCACTGTGGGCATATGGACATCATCATTGTCCGATATGGATGAAAATTTGCAGTTTTCCTATATAACTTTTGTGGAAACGAATGTACCTAATTTCTTTACAATTAGGGCTGTCGTGATCGCAGTGTTGATTATACCACCAAATTTGACCAGTTACTGACTGAAAAGTGAAGACATTTAAGGAGATGTTTCAGACTTGATGCAAACTCGATTTCGGAGGACAAAAATAATAATTTTAGCAAACCGACAGCCATCTGAGAATCAGTAATAACTGAGAAAATTTTAGACAAAATCAAGCGAAATCCATAACAATGCGAAATTTATGTAGAAATTACGGGAAGATTCACGTTAATCGCTGAATATGTTGAAGTTACAGGAAGATTCAAGTTCATCGCTCCATTCTAGAGTTATGACGAATTATCTGTATGGAGAGGCCAATCACCCTCATTTATTGGAGAAGTGGGAGAGGGGGATAATATAACTAATGTACCGATGGCGGATCGTGACCACACTTTAATCTAAAATTCAGGAGTGGGTGTCACGCTTGCACTATTTCCCTATGCGGGGCATGGAGACTTACCACGCGCCCGGCCGCCCACCTCACTCCCTGAACACCAGTGTCTGCGAGGCGACGGCTGGTCCGACGAGCCGCAGGTACTGGCCCATCTCCTGCTGGTCGCTGGCGCCGCGCAGCTGCTGGTAGCGCCGGTAGCGCATCGGCTGTCCGTCGTACAGCACCAGCGCCGCGCTCAGGTCGGGCGCCGGCAGCGGCGGCCCGGCCGGCGCGAACCGGGAGTACTTGTGTTTGTCGAGCAGCGGCTCGCAGGCGGACAGAGGGTGCCAGGTGTACGTCTCCGGGCAGAGCAGGTCGGACGGGCCGAGCCGGCCCTTGTAGCGCATCTTGGGGCACGTGTGGATGTAGTATCCCATGTAGTAGTAGCGCAGCTCTGGTCGGCTGCGCTGCAGCTGGCGAGTCAGCTCGAGCTCCCTGGTCGGAGATGGCGTGTCACCGGGCGGCAGCGATCGGGCGACGGGGCGAGGCAGGGCAGGAAACAGCAGCGGGGGAATGATATGGAGGAAGGCGGGGGAAGGTTAGGAATGTATTGGAGGGGTGATGTTAACGAAGAGACAGGAAGAAGGGAGAGAGGTGGAAGCGGGATCAAGAGAAACAGCTTCACAGGTACGCGGGAGGACATAAATGCCAAATAGGTGGAAAAATTAACCCTCGCATGTGTAGGGGGGGGGGGTCGGATGGACCCCCCCCATGGTTTTTCGCGAATAACTCGCGTAAAAAGCGGCCGATCGCGACGAAACTTTCAGTACCCTCACATTCATCAATTTTACACCAACCCTGAAAATTTCATGACCCTGACCCAAATGACCTTTGACCTGTGACCTCTTTTCCGAAACCATGTTTGGCCGGAATCGCGATTCTGCGTATGTCGGCTCGCATTAGCCGCGCGTTTGCAAGCTTTTCGTGGTTTCAAACGTTCAAACATGTGATTTGATGTTGCTTCCATGCATAAGGGTGGGTGTCAAGGTCACCTGAAGGTCAGGTCAGGTCATTGACCTTTGGTGACCTCGGGTGACCTCGGTTCACTTTTTCGAGCTGTACATGTTTCTAGGCTAGTTTTTGGAGCTGAATTCGAATTTAGCAACCATTTGAACATTTACGAAGTAGTTTTGGTGCCTTCGTAACATGTTACGAAGCTGTCAGAGGCGGTTGACACGTACTACGAATACCCGTCACGACGCCTACTGGTTGACCTGACCTGACCTGACCCGACCTGGTCTAAATTAAAGACATCATCTGTGATCAAAACTAACACGATATTCGTGATCAGCACCCCGAAAAACCCCTTAGAAGCCACACTTTACGACTTTCTAACAGGACAAGGTGGAACAGGCCACGGAGGATGAGGGAAAACACCTTAAATAATATAAAAAAGGTTGACAAGAAAGTGACAAAGGGACAATCTATGGGCATGATTTGGAAGACATTTTTTCATGAAAGCGAATGCATCAAGAGGGGCGCACGCCTGTGTCATGCAGCTCACAATATCATTAATGTGCAAAGACTACCACAGAGCTACTTTCCAAGCTACTGGGACTACATCAGCAGCAGATTATTGTAAATATTTTCAAAGCAGCCAAATACAAAGATAAAAGAATGGTAAGAAAAAGCGAGGAAGTTTTCCGAAAGTAAAGTGATCAAATACCTCTGCTGTGCGAGTAGCTACTCAAAGGTTTTCACAGACTGTCGCCGTCGCCGGCCTTACCTGAGGCTGCTGTACGTTCCCAGCGAGAGGAAGCCGAAGCGGGGCAGGTAGTAGAAGTACTTGGACGATACGCAGGAGGGCAGCACGTCCAGGACTCCGACGGCGATCAGCTCCCCGTCCAGCCAGTACTGGTGGTGGTAGGCGCCGTACGGTGGTGCCCCCTGAGCAGGCGGATACCGCGGTCAGTCAGGCCGGGCAGATAGGCGCTCACTTATACTAAACAGTGGCAGAGCCAAGCGCCACGAGACCACAGCTGCTGCACACGCATCCGGCATCACCATTTATCGTATAGCCGATGTCCTAGTTTGTTCAGATTCAAGGACAGCTTGGACAGCGTTACCGCTCGTCTGACACATCGCTAGTGTAAATAATCATCACCCACCGCGATAACAAAGCCCCACCCGCTTCGTCCAACCAACCACCATATTTTTTTAGATGTACGGGCAGTCGCCGTGCCTCCAAAACAGCCACATAATCACCGTACCTTGAGCGGGGTGGCGCAGAGGAAGCGCTCGAAAGTGCGCATGCAGCACTTGTCCTCGGTGTCCCCGTGGACGGCCATCTGGTACTGCTTGTACACCTGGTAGCTGGCCGCCTTGGTGGAGGCGAACTCGCGGTTGGACGGGGCCGTGGACACCAGCCGCAGCTGGCGAGAGCGGCGAGCACAGAGGTCAGCCGACGAGGAATGAAGGAGAAATCAAAAAGACATATTTATTCACTTCTCGCTGGCAACAAGCTTGTCATATGCCTGACGCTCATCAACTGCAACTTACGCAAACGAAAGCTAGTCGATTATAATAATCGATTATAATCGACTAGCTGGCGTAAAACAGCAGCTAGTCGATTATAATAATCGACAGCAACTCTCTGGCATCAACAGTAATACGACACTCACGCTCTACAAGCAACAACAGTCAACATCGATAACACACTAAAGTAAACTAGTAACAGTCTTATGATGGCTCAGAACAATTTATCATCATAAGATGATTGCAAGCAACACAAAAAACTTCAATCCCTGACGACAAAGATGAGCTAATGTTCCCCTACGTTCAGCGTCCCCTTTAATTTCAGCGCTGCGTCCTCCCACCTCCAGCGTGTGTTTGGCGTCCTCGGGCGGTTTGAGCAGCTCCTCCAGCGGAGTGGGCGCGCCGCCGCCGCCCGCGCCGGCGGCCGGCAGCGGCGCGTCACCGTGCTTCTTCCGCCAGCGCTCCCGGCGCAGGGCCTTCTGCTTCTTACAGGGCGGCCGGGATGGATCCATGCCCTCGCCTGCCGCCGACACCGGCCCCAGTCAGCACTCCATATGACTAGAAATATGCTCAAAATAGCTAAAAAAAAGACACAACCATTCAGTCTTAGTCACCTACGCAATGTAAGCATCTTGCAGCTAATTATCTGCAGCTTGCGTAACATTTAGCACAATAATGTAGCCAAGTTGGAACGGCACGGCACAGTGCAGCGTGATCTATCTATGCGGCGCGTGCGAACTCCACGAGTCTGACACCGACCTGGCTGGACCGACGTCTGCGACGCCGATGACGCAGGCCGCTCCGATGACTTGGTGGTGGCTGTCGTCTGCCCAGCCGACTCGCCGGTTTCTGAGGACGTCATGTCCGACAGCCCCTCTGCTTTCGTCCGGGGTGAATCTGTGCGGCAGAGCAAACAAAGTCAGGTCACTGCCGGCAGCATCCTATTTAAATGAATTAACCCTCGCCGGCCGAGGGGGGGGGGCGGGTGCCGCCCCCCCCCCCCCCCCATAGGGTTTTTTCGCGATAGCTCCGAACACCCTGGCGATAGAGAGCTGAAACTTGGCATACCTGACCTTTGATCCAAGCCGCATCTTTTGACACCAACCGCATTTTTGGGTCAGGTCAGGTCACTGACCTATGACGTCATAAGTGAACCTCTGCACGGTCTTCAGATGTCGCAACTTCGCAACGCCCTCACTGCCAGAGGAGATGTCACAGGGAAATGAAACTTGCAGGATCTAGTATCCATTATGAGTCTCACAACTTGTATATCTCGGATTTTTCCTAAAAGTCATATGAGGTCAGGTCATTTTCGTGACCTCACCATTATAAGTCAATGGGGAAAAATGAAAACTGCTATTCTGGCGCCGGGAACGATCTCCAACTATCTCAAGCACACAGAATCGTGATTTGATGCACTCCTTGCAAGGTTAGATGCGTCACTTTTGCATTGTTGACCTTGCGTGACGTCATTTATGACGTCATCAAGGTCATATTAGTTTTTCGTCAATAACTCTTGATCAAATTGAGCTAGCGAGTCGAGAAAGCCACCAATGGACTCAGGAAGACCTGCCGAATCGAATGATATGCAAGATGACCTCTTTCGACCAACTTCGTGACCTGGGGGTGCTGACCTGACCTTGACCTGAGGTCAACTCCCAAAGTTGACCTGACCCGGACAAAAAGTATATCATTCGACGCGCCTGAGCGAGGCGAACACGATGCTGCCAAAATCGCGGCTCTGCGGCCGTTTTTTTGCGAAGTTATTCACCAAAAACTGAACCGTACCCTGGGGCACTTGACCTGACCTCAGAGGTCACCGGTTGACCTAGGACCTTAAAATCGGGTACCAATCTCTGCGTCTCGTAACGGCGCACACGCTCGTTTTTTCCGCGACGCGCTAGCTCCACCAGGGGCGAAACGGCGAGGGGGGTCGTACCCCCCCCCCCCCCCTCGGCCGGCGCGTATGTAGAAAACCAATAGGTCCGGCGAGGGTTAAATAGGTACGTGATTTCGGCTCACTACGAAGCGTGTGATCGGTCTTAAATTACAAGTTGACCTGCGACCGGTCACTGACCTGTCAGGTCGCCGTTGAGCAGCGCAGCGCCCTGGGGCAGGTCGCCACTGGCCCTGGACGCCATCTTCTCCAGTGTTTCGGCATCAATTTCCAGGTCGACATGACCGTGCTCCACACTGCCATCTGGCGAGAAAATATCCAGTCACAACGTTCCGCAGCCGTGTAACCGCGGAAAACAACGGCAAACAGCTCTAGCTAGGCGTTCAACCAATGACTGGGACATTCATGAAAGCAATGGGTTTAATGTTAATAGATACAGTTACGTGCAATTTCCTGAAAACTACCTGCAACATATTTAATAGAGATAATTAGCCATTTATTCTATCATCATCGAAATTCAATCCTACAATATCGAGAAAAGGCGAAAATTTCAAAAGATGATATTATGGGATTCAAGTAATTGATGAAATTATTCGGTGGTGACAAGGGCCTTGGGAATAGCCTTTAGTTGTTTTATTCTAAGTAAAAGGATAAATATCGTTAAAAATCGGTAAGCAACCCGTGAAACACTCTTCTTACCCATAGTATCGTCGCCAGCTGACATCTCTTGTTGATTTAGCTTGGCGCTGCCGTTGCGAAGAAAACTGCGCATTCGTTTGGCAATCTTTTTCTGAGACTTGGTCAGCCTAACCCCAAGAGCATCACATCTGGTGAAAAAAAAAAAAAAAACACGTATTATTTTTCAAGACATTGTTTATTGTTCAGAGGATAGGCACAAAATGTTTCATTTATTCAGATATTTTGCGTACTCGTGGTACTTTCAGAAGTGAACTCCGGTGACTTCACCGGTGACTTCCGCACTTTGTCCATGAGGAAACCACGCGTACCGAAACATCTGAATAAATCTAACATTTTGTACCCATCTATCCTCTTGAACAACTCCGAAAAAAAATATTCAACATTAATTTCGCATCCCGAGGAAAGTTTTTTTTTATAACGACAATCAAGTCATGCCTTAATTTTCCAGCCATAGGAAACGTGTAAAGCATCATCCAAAGGACTTGGTGATGATGACACACCAATAACAGCATTTGGGGGAACTGATGCATTATCACACTTTTATAGTTTGATACAACATGTATGACTATGATGCCTGAAGATGAATCGCTAAATATTCGGCCACTAGACCGCCCATATACTCTGTCTCTTACCGCACGATAGTTCCCCAAGAATACATCGATATTCAAATAAACATTGCACATGAAATAAATCCTACAAATACACAAGCTTACTGGCAGTACCAGCACAATGTCTGCCATTCCGCCGAGTCACCGACTCCTGACCTAATGGTGTAGGGCGGACAGCAGATCTCGTGCATGACCGGCTTGTAGCAGTAACAGCCGCTGCGCCTCCAGCCGCGGTCCAGCAGTGCCTGGTACTCCTGCACATCGAGCGCGTGCGCCCACATACCTGAACCGGGACACGCGGGGCCATCGGTCAACGCGCCACAACTCACCGGTCACAGAATATGCAGATATGATCGCTTGATCGTTACGGCTCAAAATAAGGTCGGTTTTATTTGAGCATCCGCGATCTCGACATAGCTGGCTGCAAACTCTAGCAGTCCATCTGATACAATGGACTACGCACACTTCATTCATTTTAATGTTCACTGAATCTCAAGTCGACTGTCCCAGCTCGACCTTACTCCATACGTGGCGTGTTTAGCATCAGATTCGACTAGACTGACATCGTAAGTCTGTTTGCTTTGCATTCCCTTACAACCTCACTCGATCGCGACCAATTTTACACGTCCATGTAGCTTCAGTTGGGACGAATTGAAATGGAATGTTTTGTTGACAGCCACGCCTAGCAAACTCCCTAACGATACGAGATGACGCATGGCTCTGACCTGTTTACCAAGAACATCTTTTGAGAAGTGCGTATCAGCGTTTCCTAGCTCTCCGTTACTTGCGCAATTGAAACATTAGGATCGCGAGGGGCTTGGGATCGCGCAGGGAACGCATGCCTTGCAGTTCCGTCCGCACGATAGATATCAATGTCAGCATCAGGCATAGATTAGAGTCCAGCAGAAGAGAACAAAGAAGCAAATTTGGAGCGGGGCTAAAATGACCACAATGTCCTGAATTATACAGAAAACCATGACGTAATCTGACTTAGTGAAGTCTCGAGTCCTAGGCCCCATTAAAGATGTATTCCTACACCATTTACACCTTTGGAAATGTTGTTCATCTGATTGCCTTTCATAGTATTATGCATTGCTTCTTAGTTTTTCTGGTTGGTGATTTTCTCTACAGCCAGTAACCCAGCTTACCTTGAGCTATAAATCCTTTTTTAGACTTGCAGTAGCCACACTGGTGTCCTGGGCTGTCAGGAAACAGCTGGACAATCGAATAATTACGAGACATTGTAGCAAGCCTATGTCATTTGTCTTGATTGAGGCATAATCTGTGAAGAAAATGTGGTCACTAAAGGGAGACAATATTCCACCAATTCAACCTCAATACTTCATGAAATAAATTTTGATGTATGTAAACCATACCATAGATACAGGTACAGCCAATCTACTCAAAGGAGCATGAAAATAATTTAGCATTGGTAGCAGCAGTAGCAGTTAACCACATGACACATAAATGAGCTTGGCCTCGTAAGACTTGACTCCAGGTGAACGGGAGCTAGGAAAGCACAAGGGTTGACAGTACTGACACTCTTTTTACCTCTAACCATAAAATCACAAATTTGATTATAACCTTTTCATAAACAAAATTTCATCAACATGCAGCATTGTGGCAAGGATATATGCAGGGAAGAATTATGAGTCAGGGTAGGTTTTGATGAGAAAGGTATCAAGTGCTGCTATACTAGAGGCAAATTTTCTGGAAAAAATGACCAGCGACCATCCAAACAAAAAGCACATGTCACAAATAACAATATAAAGGAAGGCATTTTCAGCAAACTCTGTTCATAAAGGGTCCAACCGTCCCTAAGAGGATATATTTGAAATTCCTATGAGGCATTATTCCCCATCCTTCTGCATCAACTCCCTCAATAATTCTACCAAACACATTCTGTCATGAGTGTCCCATTCCCAACACATACCAATAACCCTGGACTGTGTACATGTTATTGTGTAACCTAACATTGCTTGCTTGTTTGCATGTTACCTATGCAATGTGCGCATACAGCAATGAATGAGATAGCAGCACCTTCAAAGCTTTCATTTTATCCGTAATCCGACCCATCAGACATAAAAATCTCACAAATACCAGAAAAAGAGTATGTCAATTTTCTGACAAACATCAAAAGCAGATGAAGGGTAAGCAGATGGTAAGTTTAAGTATGCAGGTCAGTAGTTGGGTAAACCTGAATGATCTGAATATTCTGCCAGCCTGCACCTCATCAGTCTCCTATTCGGTCCATCCAATACCTAGCTCAGTTGGGTAGCTAGGCTACAGCACTGGGCTCACAGTAGTAAGACCTTGGGTGTGAGCTGTGAGCCCTTGTGGTGCTCAATATAGACCAGGCCGTACGTAGGATTCTTTTATATTGTTTTATGATTCTTTCATAAGATTCTTGATGAAAAAGTATGATTTCTACGTCTAATGCTATTTCATAAATGTTTTTTTCAACTCCAGAAGTGTTCACACTTCACACCAAGACATCAGCAGGCCTATGCCTCGTATAGACTTCTGAAGGTGATTGGCTGTGGTCAGTGGTGGGTGGGAGCTGAAGGCCACAGGAGCTAGCTATGCCATCCAAAGGCAAAAAATGCAGAGCCTATTTTTAAGGGATTTTGACTGGGGGGGGGGCAACCTGGAAAATTGTCTTAAATAATCCATTAACCCTCGCCCGTATTGGTGTTTTCTAGCTGCGAACGTATGGGGGGGGGGGTCCGTTGGACCCTCCCCCTTTGCCGTTTCGCCCCTGATCGAGCTAGAGCTTCGCGGAAAAAACGACCGTGTTGCCCGTGATGAAAGGAAGCCGATGATACCCAATTTTAAGGTCCTAGGTCATCGGTTGACCTTCCAGGTCAGGTCAATGACCCAAAAGTCGGGAAAATCGGGACCTGTTAGAGCGTCGTAAAGGGTGGCTATGTTTTTTTCGGGGTGCTGGTCACGAATATCATGTTAGTTATGATCATAGATGATGTCGTCATGCATTTAGGCCAGGTCGGGTCAGGTCGGGTCAAGTCAACCAGTAAGGGTTTTGCCGGGTATTCGTAGTAGGTGGCAACCGCCTCTGACAGCTTTGTAACATGTTACGAAGGCACCAAAACTACTTCGTAAACGACCAAATGGTTGCTAAATTCGAATTCAGCTCCAAAACTAGCCTAGACACATAAAAAACTCGAAAATGTGAACCGAGGTCATCAAAGGTAAATCACCTGACCTGACCTTCCAGTGACCTTGACACCCACCCTAATGCATGGGAGCAGCATCATATCCCATGTTTGAACGTTTGAAACCACGAAAAGACTGCAAACGCGCGGCTAATGCGAGGCGACATACGCCGAATCGCGATCCCGAGCGCTGTTCGGCGGCCGGCTAGCGCGCTAGCCCACGCACACATACGTGCACGTTGCCCCGGCAACGGGCTATTGACCAATGAGAAGCGCACTACGGGGGGCACAGGTATATGAAAAATCGCAGTGACGTTGCACTTTCCTGGCTTCTCATTGGTCAATAGCCCGTTGCCGGGGCAACCAGCACGTGTGTGAGCGCCGGTAAGAGTACTAGCCGGCCGCTGATCAGGGCCCCGGCCAAACATGGTGCCATGGTGCTAGGCCGCCGGTGCATCTGAAAGAACAGCTGTGGTGCCCCTACCAAGCCTGAAGTTCCAACGACAGGCCCGTGGTGTCCCTGACAGGCCCATGATGCCCTTGCGAGGCCGGTGGTGTCCCTGCTAGGCCGGTGGTGCCTCTGCTAGGCCGCTGGTGCCCCTGGGCCCTGACAGGACTGTGGTGCTCCTGACAAGCCTGGAGTGTCCCTGACAGGCACGTGGTGCCACTAACAGGCCCAAGGTGTTCCTGCGAGGCCGGTGGTGCCCCTGGCAGGCCTGTGGTGTCCCTGGGCCCCAAGGGGGCGGGGGATCATGACCCATATGACCCACCCCTGGATCCACCACTGGTCATTACTTGCAGACTGACTCATTTGACATCCATTGCAAAACACGTCACAGTGGTAACTGGTACCTATGTTTGTCACCCTGTTCCTTTATGCCCATTTTTATAGTGGGCAACTCTTGATGACTGGGGGGGGGGGGGGTGGTCAATTCTGTTGAGTGCGGGGGCATTTGCCCCCCCCCCCCAGTCAACATGTTAAAATAGGCCCTGCAAAAATGATTTTGATAGGTCAGAGGTAAATGTGTCAGGCCAGAGGTCACTCAAACATATCCATTAATTTTGTCCTTGCATGGCAGACCAGTCTGAGTCATGCCAGTTGAATGGGAAAGGGTAGACCCTGTCCAGATTTAAAGGGCAACTTATGCTTTGGCATTTCCTTTTTTACTGCCTGGAATTGCAAGATCAGATGGCAGGGGTCAGGACCTGAGCATTGAGCAGCAAACACTACTTGGTGTCAGCTCTTGCTCTGTCAATCTGCCCCAGCCCCAAACAGTTGAGCTAAATCAAAAAGAAATAACAATAAGGCTGCATGATCAGGATGGTCAGTTAGTGACTTACCAGGGAAATAAGCCAAAACTAGAGCACTCTATTTAATGATCCTGCTCCATATTGAAGAGACATCCCTAAAAGAGTGATCATTGATCAGCCCTTATGCAGCAAGGCAACACTTCCCTGACCAGTGAATGGTATCAACAGAAAGAGAATTTGTCAAGTATTAGCATACACCAGTAAAAATAAAATGAAAATGTTTCTCAAGCAAAGAAATCAATCCTAAACATAGGCTAAATATTGATCCTACTTTGACATCAGCATTACAAATAGATCCCCCAATCACCTGATAAGCTAAACATATTGATGATCCTACTCCTCAGACAGAAATATTTTCTCACAATTGAATTTTGTAATTATTTATAAAACAAAAGATTGCGCAACAGAAAAATGATGAATTTATAGTTAGATGAAGAGCATGTACAAAAATTAATGATCATGGTATGGTAACTTAATCTGTATTGTCTAGTTGATTTACATATCCTCATAGTTTGGAGTCATATTTCAGCATGTTCTACAGGGAGTTGAGCATTATTTCAGGACCAATCTTTTCCTTGCTCATTTGTCCATCAATCATGACATTTTCAGGGTTGAGCAACTAGTTCTCAGGCGGTCAAAGGGTTTTCGTGAGAAGGGTACAAAAAACGGCGTCATTTTTAGATCCTTTATACAGGACCCTGTGGGAGGTAGTCCTGTCACAGGACCATAAAATAGAGTGCTGTAATTTTAGCTTATTTCCCTAGTAAATCAACAATTGTAGTGTTTCGTGAGACATAACAAATTCAGTTGGGGAAACTATGAGGTGAAGATCACAAAATGGATTGGTCAATAAATAGACTTTTGATGACCACTTATGGACATAAATGCAGCCCTCACTACTACGGGTGAAAAACTGTATACTGTGCCAGTACTTGTGGTATCGCGTCCACTTATCGGAGAGAAAAGGCTTCCATTTTCCACTAGGAATTAACGTGATTAGATTAAATTCCACAAATTCACTCAAAAATGTTGATAGGAAAACAGCTTTTCTGCAGGTTCTGGGTGTCACAATCAGCTGGCCATTCCATAAATGGTTCGGTGTTTTGAAAAAAAAATTGTTCAAAGTCTAAATTTAATTACAATAAAAGATATTTAATTCTAAAATCATAATTTAACCAAAATTGGAAAAACCATAAACTAAATAATAAAAATAATGAATTTTAAAACCACGGTGCTGCTTACATTTTATTGCACGTGTTGCAATCCACCATATTTGCCAATCACTGTTTGACCTTGTATTGTAACTCTGCAATTTAGAGCCGTCAGTGCATTGTGCAACGTGTGAACGTAGGCCTTGTGTGGTTAAAAAACATTATTATGCCTTATTTTTTCATTTGAATGCTAGAATGCATGGAAAAGATGAGGTTTTCTGATTTTAAGATCATATATGGTCATCGCCCCGCCCACTCCAGCCGTTAATTGGCTGATCAAATTTTAGTTTGGCGCCTCATGGTTTCCCCAACTGAATTCCTTGACAAAGCTGGAGGCAGGGCTGAGAATAAGCCTACAATTATCCTGGTTGCATTTTGAACCACTTTTTAAGTAAGGCACCTAGGTACTTATTAAATTAAAAAGCATTATTTTATCAGAACAAAAGATGAAAATACTATGAGAATGAGAAAGCTGTCACTCAAAATGATTGCCATGAGTGTTGAGACATGAATTTGAATTGTTTATGTCTAGGCCTCAGCCTTTGCCTGCGCTTTGCATGCACAAAGAGAAGAGAATGAGCCAGGTA